TCAGTGAGCAGAGGAATATCCTACACGAAATAAGAAAACGGAAGGCTAATTGGATTGGTCATATCTTACGCGGTAACTGCCTTCTAAAAGAAGTTACTGAAGGAAAGATAGAGGGGCGGATAGAAGTGACCAGAACACGAGGAAGAAAACGTAAGAAGATGCTGATGACCTTGGGGACAGAAGAGGATACTGTCATTTGAACGAGAAAGCTCTAGAGCGCATCAAGTGGGGAGCTGTTTTGGAAGAGACTGTGGACCTGTCGTCTTGACAGATTACAGATGAGTGAATCCAAAAAATTATTGGGGAACCTTGGTTCACAGGATTATCGTCGAAACCCTTATTAAATTGGGATTTGTATTGGAATAAATATAATTTTTACACTAAAACTGAAGCTTTATTTGTTGAAATTACCCCAAGCCTTTAGTTTTTAGTTACGTCAGTGAGTTGAGGAGCTTGCTGATTGGTTGTGCTCAAGATAGGTCTATGATAGCTAAAGTACGAAACGTAGTTCATGCAGGATAAACTTTCCACATTTAGTCCAAGACCAAATCGATGCAAGAATTAGATCTAGTCGTTCCTTGACTTGATTGTAATTGTATATAATTGGAGTTGGTGTAGGGTCAGTTGACATATATGCTTCTGGTGTTCTATTACCCTGAGCTTTGCGTTTTCTATAATTATGCATGTATTCAGCGGAGAAGTCTTTTACTCTCTGGATTCTCTGTTTCTCTGGATTCTCCCTGTCATTCGGCATTGAACTTCGTTTGGTTACATTACAATAATTATCTTCTAACCTCTTATTTTTCCTCTTTCTCTTACATACGCAGCACGACTATCGTCAGCGGACATCTTATAAGTGTGTGACGTCATACGCTGGCTCCTGACCTACAGTATTGCGTCATCCACTAAAAAGAGGAATTGAATCAGCCGTATTTGTTACAAACAAATGGTCTTAACTCCTAAACCGTAAATGATGGATCAAAACGGATTGAAGTTTTTACAAGCTCGTATTTATTAACGTATTTCGCTCGTGATGTGTCCTGATCCATCTCTTACGGTTTAGCCGTGGCAGGCGGTTGAAAGTCTGTAAAATTAGGAAAATTATTATACATGTTTTGAGTTACTGTTTAAACAGTGTAAAATTTTAATTTGGAAGTAAAATAAACATCACTTTTGGATAGATAAGTTTTTGTTCTTTCATTTGCGTATAACTTTTAATTAAAGGTACGCCATAGGTCTTGAGGTATCAGCGGTTACGTAAGAGGTTGCACGGGAGTTAGGCTCAGTGCCACACACGGCTTCATCCATTTACACCCTCGCATGTTTTCAACGTTAATATAACGAGACATAAGTACTGTAATAAAATTCCTATTAATGATTACTAATATGGATGAACGTTAGAAATACACACAAATACAATTCGATAACGAATGGTACATTTCATGAAAAACAGCCTGATGATGATCCAGCTGGAGCGAAACATGTAGCAAATGTACATAATAAAATGAATGATAATGCAGTAGCTTGTTAACAGATGGCAGAAGGTGTACTAGTGAAATTAAATCCAGGATTGCTATGGCAAAAGCTGCATTTAGCAAGAAGAGGAATCTTTTTACCAGCAAATTGGACTTAAATTTGAGGAAGAAACTAGCGAAATGCTACATTTG